TTGAAAACCATTTTCAATTTTTGGAACAGACACACTTAAAGACCGGTTTTGGGCTGTTTGGCCTCTCGTCAGTGCAAGGTAGTGTCCATCATCTACATGAAGTCGATGATTTCCCATAATTGAAAATCGAAGTCCTCGAACCAAGCCAAAGCGAACGACAAACAACATATTTGTTATCGCCCCACCGCCCGTGAATGATGTTGCCAACCGCACATTCGAATCGCTCAAATCCTTGTATAAGGAAAAAACTTCACATATAGTAAAGGGGCATAATTGAAGACTGGCTATAAATCAAATAATCTTGAATAACAATTCATTCGGGCCAGTCTCAACTCACCTACGTTGTAGGTTAAAGGACTGGAACCAATCAGACAAAACTACTTGCCTGTCCAATTCCACGAAGGGCGTTGGACTATGTCCGACAGGTGTCAGATGAGAAATCATTGACTTCACGTTGATGATGGACACTACTTTGCACTAACGAGGGACCAAATAGTCCGAAACCCGTTTGCAAGTTGTTTTTAGAGACAAAACACAAGCACTACAGAAAAATAGTAAAGGCGCTCTCAGAGCGATGCCTGTAAAGTTTGAGGTACACTGACTTGAACCTCAAAACGATGAGCAGCTACAGTCCGTCGCGTATTTCTGACATGTACCGCTCTTGGTGTACACAGGGTGTAACTGAATAAATGTGAAACATTCAAGGAGGTGATTCCTTATCGAAAAAAAGATAGGATCTTTCATTTAAAGAAACTTCATTGGAGAATCCCTTGTTGAGATACAGCCCCTTAAAGGGGGTACATAAAATTTGTATAACAATTTTTTTCACAAGCACTGAAAAAGTTACAATATTGAAATTAACCTGACGTTTTGTACTACCAAAAAGACACTTAGCCAGTAATTTATTTGGTTTACCCCATGGTTGTAAGGGGTGGAAAACGCAACCCCTAAAATTTAATTTCCAATGTAACTTTTTGTCTTATTATTTGTTTACCATTTAAAAATTTATTTCCCGATAGCCTGTTTTATTCTGAACAAAAAATGTTTTCAGGGTTTTTTGCCCAAAATAAACCAGTTCTCAGCAAAAAATTATTTTACGAACGAATATAGAGATACATCGTCATAAATGCGAACTGGATTTATTGTTATTTTGTAGTTAGTACCTGCATTAAACGATTGAAGAGTAAGAAACAAAACTAATTTATCAATAACAAAACACACAACATGTAGAAATCATAGTAAATGGTCAACAGGTCTACCTTCAGACATTACGCATGCGTCTAGACGATGGCGTATTCGCTCAAATATTCCTGGAGTCTTTCTGATTACCCTGCACGCATCGATGATGCGGTTTCTTAGGTCCTCCACATCGCGAACAGGAGTACGATAAACCAAATGATGTAAATGGCCCCAAATAGAGAAATCGAGAGGTTTGAGATCCGGGGATCGAGCGGGCCATTTCTGTGGTCCTCCTCGACCTATCCACTGATTTGCATATATTTCAGTTAAATGCTGACGTGCTACTTGACTAAAATTGGCGGGAGCCCCATCATGCATAAAAACATATACCTTCTGACGCCCAAAGGAACTTCCTCCAGCAGTACTGGATGCACTGCTCTTAAAAATTGAACGTATGCCTCACCATTTAATCGAGGAGGTAGAAAATCCCCGATAACTTCGAGCTACACGTTGAGAGAAAACTGTTTTCTTGATGGTTAGTTTCGACAATAGCGTGAGGGTTTTCATCAGCCCAAATGAGGCCTAATTGAATCATCTCCAATAACTTCGAGCCACACGTTGAGAGAAAACTGTTCTTGATGGTTAGTTTCGACAATAGCGTAAGGGTTTCCATCAGCTCATATGTGGTAATTATGATTATTAATAATCTTGTCCCGAGAAAAACTACATTCGTCTGTGAATTCTATCGTCTCCAGATAGTCACAATTTCTTCTAATCATTTCCAGCATCCAATTGTAAAATTCAAGACGGTTCGGAAAGTCTCGCGGTAACAGTGCCTGTACTCGTTGCAGATGGTAAGGGTATAAGAGTTGTTCCTTTAAAATTCTAAATACCGTCATATGATCAACATTTAGCTGTAAAGCAATATTTCTAGTACTGGTAGTAGGTTGTTCTTCATTCAAATTAAGTACTGTTTCTTCAAGCTGTGGTGTTCGTACTTCTCGATGGCGACCACAATCCTGCGTTTTTTGTCAAATGAACCATATTCTCGTAATCGTTGATGAAGTTGAGCAAATATTCTGTGTGAAGGATGCTTGAGGATGCATTTCAGTATATCTTCTAGAAGCTTCTAACCCATTCCCCTGCGACAGACCGTAAGCGTAATGCATTTCCTGATTTGTGTATGCCATTTTAATAACAAGTGAATTATTGAAGTAACAAATTGAGAACAAAACAACACACGATTAGTAACAATTCAATTTCGAAAATTCACAAACTGACAGCGTCATACCAATTCAATTGTCACTATCGCTAATAGCCACCTACTAAATAGATTAATTTCGTATTCTCGCATTTATGACGATGTATCTCTGTAGTTGTTCCTAAAATAATTTTTTGCTGCGAACTGGTTTATTTTGGGCAGAAAACCCAGGAGACATTTTTTGTTTAGAATGAAACAGGCTATCGGAAATAAATTTTTAAATGGTGAACAAATGATAAGACATAAAGTCTTATTTCTTCATTAGAAATAAATTTTAAGGGTTGGGTTTTCCACCCTTCACAACCATGGGGTGAAGCAAATAAATTCCTGGCTAAGTGTCTTGTACTAAACGTCAGGTTAATTTCAATATTGTTACTTTTTTAGTGCATGTGACAAAAATTGTTATACAAATTTTATGTACCCCCTTTAAGGGGCTGTATCTTAACAAGGGATGCTTCAATGAAATTTCTTTATATGAAAGATCCTATCTTTTTTTCGATGAGGAATCACCTTTTTGAATGTTTTACACTTATTTAGTTACACCCTGTATAGTGTTCCAAGCTTTTGAGAAGCAGCGTTTGTAATTCCAACGTGCCAAGACATATTGGTGTCCATTTTAACTCCCAACAAACATATCGAAGCAGAAAGCGGAATTGTCACACCTGACATTATTATATCCGGTTCGGAGATATTTATCTTCTTGAAGAAAACCGATGCCTGGGTTTTTGTGGCATTGAATTGAACCTGATTACTTTCACCCCAATTCGAAATGACTTCTACATCCTCAATAAGATATGCAAACTCCCGCTGCCGGTGAAGATGTGTCTCCATAGCTGATTTTCTGGAATCCAAATGGAATGACGAGACAAGTGTGCTGTCGTCAGCAAAGCAATATTTTTCTGATTGATTCGACCATTACTTGTTGATGATATACAGTAATTCCATAAACCACACCTCACGATTTGATCTCCACAAACTAAGTAGATATCAAAACATGAAGTATAGTTCATGATATTAGCAAAGCAAAATATTGGATTCTTGGTTTTTTTCCAATAAGTGGTTGATATACAATAAACATAGGGTTGGAGATAATTTGTATCCTTGGGGATACAGAAATGATCCGACAAGCCATGGCATCGAAGTTTGACCAGCAAACCCTCATGCCACACACGGTCAAAGGCCCTAGAAATATTGAGCGCATCAGCTCTTGACCCTCCATGTTTGTCGATTGTGTTATTCCAATTATAGGTGACATACGACACAAGGTCGCCTGTTGATCTTTGTTTCCGGAAGCCATATTGATGATCGTTCAAGATGTTAAAGCCTTCCAAATATTTGAGAATAAGGTAGTTTACGACTTTCTCCATGAGTGGGGTATAGTTATTTGGAAGATTTTTCTTGCCCTTTTTGGGAATAGGCTGAACGCGAGCAATTTTCCAACAAGAAGGAGAAACCCCTTTCTTGTAAGACAGGTTATGAAGTCTGCAAAATATTGATGAGAGTTCGTTTGCGCACTTTTTGAGTACGATAACTAGCACTTCATCAGGGCCAGACACCTTGGTGATATTGATCTGTTTCAGAATTCGCCTGTCGATGCTATCGAAAAGTAATTTCCGGCATTGTGGATTATAGTGTGGGAATAGTGGGTGGTGCCTTTCCCAGAAAATCGACAGTGGAGTGAAACGCAAATTGTTCAGCTAGTAGATTTGTTTTTTCTATGGCTGTTATTGTAACTGAATCATCCGCTTGTGTAAGTGGTGGAATTGTGGATTTTGTAAAGTTCTGATCAACAGCTTCAGCTATCGACCAGAAGGATCTAGACCCGTTGGGACCGGCAAACAGTTTATCCCTAATTCTCTGATTGTTAAGTTCTTTGCTTTCAATTGTCATAAGTTTGAAGCTGTTGCCAGCATTAACATACCTAGACCGGTAGGCAAGATTTTTGGAGGCGACAACGTGTTTGCAATTTTTGTTAAATTAAGGTTTGGAGTTAGAAGGTCGTTTCATTGAAAAAGGAATATATGCATCCATAGATGATAGAATAACTTCCGTGACTTCAGAACCACAAGTTGATGGATCATTAGAACTGAAACAAACATCTAGCCAGGAGAAATTTCGGAAATGGTCTTGTTGAATCGCCAACAGCATATGCAGGAATCACTTCTGTGAAGAATCCTGCTGTCAGAAATATTCCAACCCTATTGTTTGTGTCTGTTTTTTCTCGGAAATTTAATAAAATGTATAGTCCATACGAATTCAATCTGAATAGCTGAATAAAAGAGTAATGTACCAGGTCTGATAAATTCACTAGTTGATACCATATAAAATCTCTCATATAAACATAATTATTAGACCTCGTATGGATTTCTTACCTTCACCTGGTTACTTACTTATCTGGTTAATTAGTTCTGTAACTATTTAGTTTATATTCGAATCGACTTCGTAATGTACTATATATATTCTTGTTCATTTCTTACGATTAACAAATCAATTGATTGATTTATGGGTTGTGAGTAGTAGGAGAAAATTGATTATTTCCAGAAGTCAATGAGACCTGAGATTGATTGGTTTGAAATATTTAATTGATTCCATAAAATCGTATAACAATATCAATAAGTATCGTAAGGTGGTTGGCCATATTTTCCGTATATTTCTTTTTCATAAAACTTCATGTTATCGTGGAAAGGGTTTATTCCAATCTCCAAATTTGCACTGATATTCAAGTAAACAAGACTATTTGAAATTGATGAAGACAATGGCCAAATTACATTTTGAAGCACCGAATCATTTTGATGAGTTGGATTTCTGAAAAAAAAATAAATGAATAAATTTCTAGCAATGAAACTTGCGCTACTCATTCTAGGAATTCCACGTATAACAAAACAGTTCAATTTACAGTTGTAATATTTGAAACACTGAAACAACTTGGAGATATCAGCCCACCATGATAAAATATAAAATAAGATCGTTCGGTAGAATATATTTTTAAACAAACGGTTTTACTAATAACAGAGCTTTGCTAATCAAATTGTAGTACACTTTGATAACGATGCAAATTCAAGATGACCGCAGCTTCAAAATGGCGGAATACATATTACGTTGTACCTGAGGCACTAAATGAACTGAATAGAATGAGAAGAATTGAGTAACAAAACTAGGAACTAAAAACATGAAAATGAAATAGGAAAAAATATTTTATGTTGAACAGTTTTTTTAAAAGAAAAAGATACCAGTGATGTACTGAAAACTAAAGAATAATTCGAGAGGTCATAGATAGCAGTCATCAAACCACTCTCCTCAACAATCCATGTTAATGACCAGATAAAAAAATTTACTCAGGTTGCACTACATCCAACTATTTCATTATTTTTGTATCTGATAAATATCGTAAATTGCTGAGGAGAGTGGTGTGATTCCTGCTATCTAGGACCTTCCTAATTATTTTTTAGCTTTTAATACATTATCTACATTATTATTTCTTTCAATAAAACCGTTCAACATGAAATTTTTTTACTTATTTGATTTGTAGATTGGATATATTTTGATAGTGCTTGTTATCCAGAATACAGTGATAAAAATTTAACATCGACATTATTCAATGCTTTCAAGTGGCTTATCAAGTTACGCGCCATTAAAAACCGTGCGTAACATCATGAGATATGTGTGATTGTCGAAACAATGTTTTGGAGCACAAAAATTAATGTAAATGGTTTGAATAATATTTGTTCAGAATGAGAATATTTTATGAAAGCAGACTCAAGTGATTCAACACAAATGAACTGGATGGATATCTTTCGAATACTTTCACCATCAACGCTGGTATTTCCCAGGAATTCGTTTTGTCTCTAACCCTCTTTTTAGTGTATGTCAAGGACTTATTAGTATAAACCAAAAATCTAATCTATTTCTTTACTGACAACATCACACTTGTCTCGTTATTACATTTGAATTCGGGGATATCGTCTGCGGATGCACATCTTCACCGGCAGCAGGAGATTGAATATCTTAATGAGGATCTAGAAGTAATTTCGAATTGGGGTGAAAATAACCAGATTCAATTCAATGTCACAAAAACCCAGGCATCGGTTTTCTCCAGAAAAATAAATTTTTGCGGACCGGATATAATAATGTCAGGTCAGACAATTCCGCTTTCTGCTTCAATAAGTTTCTTGGGGGGTTAAAATGGACACCACTATGTCTTGACACAATCATGTCGCTACAATTGCAAAACCTGCTTCTCAATAGCTTGGAACACTGTTCCAAATCAGAAAACTCTACACACCTCAGCAACTTCTGATGGTTTATAAAGCTCAGATCAGACATTTTTTGGAGTATTGTTCTCATGTACGGAGCTCCGCCCCCAAACATACTCTGAAGCTGCTGGATTTCAATCAGTAAAGAGCCATCCGTCTGATTGGAAACCCGAACATCACTTGAACCTTGATAGTCTGGAACATTGGAGAGCGGTTGAAGATTTGTTTCTCTTCTACAGATACTTTCTTGGGAAGTGTTCAAGTGACATATAAGTGTCATAAGTGGCATAAGTGGCATATTTGACTCCATCAAGAGCGGTATATATCAGAAATACGTGACGGACTGTGGCTGCTCATCGTTTTGAGGTTCAACTCAGTACACCTAGAACTTCATTTTTTTAAGAACTCTTTCATTGGGAGAACGGCGTTCATATGGAATCTCCAGCGATCCAAATCCAATGTGAATCACTACTAGATATATGATGGAATTGGCCGATACTTGATGAAAATCCATTACTATCGTATTCAAAAAACACTTCATTGTGAGATTTTCACCAAAAAGTTTTTACAAAAACGCAACACGTGTTTCGCCATACAATGGCTCCTTCGGGCGTGTCTACTACTTTAGCAGATGCACCTGATCTCAAGATCAGGGTGTAGTGAATGCATTATTTCCCCTGAGGCCTTCTATAATCAGAACATACATTCCAATGGAGTTCGCAAAATAAATCCCGATATTTGAACATTCATCTCCTGCTTCCGGACAATATACACTTCCCCCGGAACAGACATTTTTCCACAGGCCAACAATTCCGTGAATATATTCTTCATGACCAGTGCGCAATTCATTTCGTTTAGACACTCGAAGTTCTCAACAGGAAGCTTTGAACTGTGCTTGTGCCATAGTGCTATAAAACTATTCCACCCGTTCAGTCATTGGAGAATTATTCACAATAAGTGGGGACTCCAAAAAGTAGGAATATTTGACGGGATACTTCTCGCTTAATTCTCTCAGGCTCAACAGCACTCAAAGTGTGACGGATACATCCCAGCTCAGATATAATTTGCCGTCCTCTGTTTCGAAAATGATGAAACAGCAGAGCACATACTTTGTGCCTTCTCACTCCGGACCAAATCAGGTTTTCGGAGTTTAACAGTGTCGCCTTACCATCCGACCTGAAAGATTACTCATCTTATAAACTAATCGGCTTCGTCAAGAAGTTGGGTTTATTTGGTCGAGTATGAATAGGTGTGAGCCACAATAAACCCTTGCGAGTTGCGATTGCTAGTTGAATAGACCCACTTTCTTTTGAACTATCCTGACCTATTATTTTACGGACGTTCAGCTGGCGGCATTGATACGGGTTGCTTTTCTCTAGGCGCCTGGATTCCCGGTCTTGTTTTGTCACCACTTGCTGCGGTAAGTGGTCCCGCAACACACCGAAGACCTCAGACTGATGGCTATCCTGATTTTCTTATATTTCTGAATTATTTTCACTACAATGAATATTTGGAAGGGTAAAATCGCAGGAGTAGGAATTTCCCATATTAGGTTTAGTTAAGAACGCCGGTGAGCATACTCGAGCTGCTTAGAAGCATGAGTTGACGAAGTTCTAGGGACTGGGTTTCTAGATATATAGTGGGTTCCTAAGAGAACGGCATAAGATTTTGAAGTTCTTCTGAGGTTTAGGAACAATTGAAAACAATAAACTTGATGAAAACTACGGGACAATTACAATTGAAATCACATATTGAAATAACCGCTGAAATATCGTGTCTGAAAGTTACTTCTCTGCATGATATTCATATATTTGTAAATAGTTCATTTTAAAATCAATTCTAATTATTACAGTTTATTCTATGACTTTCACTATAAAGGGTTTTACAAAACCGCGACATGTGTTTCGCTATACAATACCTTCCTCAAGCGTAAATTGAAAGTTACTTCTAAATTACAACCATTTTATACTCTAACATATTACCTACTCGTATGGCTACTTTCTAATGAATGAATCTACCTGAAAAGGTCAGGTATGAATCAATTACCTATAATGATGAATTTCACGAAAGTACTCTAAATATATTTAACTATTTTTACCTGGAAATGAATCGATTCAATAATGGTGAATTATTCAATTCGCGAATAAGATACTGAGAGTTTTTGAATTTTTTATTGCCATAGTCTCCAACAGGTTAAGTTTCATACCTTTCTTCTGGAAACGGTGTGGCTCGTATTTATGGTTGAACTCTTGTTCCTCTATGATTAAATAAGTGGCATGTGTGAAATTTATTTTTCCATTCTGAAAACTTTATCTGTTTCTTTATGTGGGCTTTGAACTTTCTTTTAGTTTGACCTATATAGAACTCCGGACATGACCCATATGACATGGTGGAATCAAATGTGCCAAGTCTCTTGAAGAAAGTATCTATAGAAGAGAGACAAATCTCCAACCATTCTTCGATGTCCCAGGCTATCTGTTTTGTCTGTTTGAATATGTTTGATATCAAGGTTACACGTAATGTCCGCGTCTCCTATCAGGACGAAACTGTACAAATGTTCGTAACAAATACAAGTGGTAAAAAACAGAAAATTTTGTTTCTCATTTTTCATCATTCCTTTCTGTGAAAGATTCCCACATTTTTTCGTATGAAGATGGAGAAGCAGGAAGCCAAAACCCTTTTTCCCAAAAAAATTATTTTTTCTTAAAAATATAACCCTTTCAATTCAATTAATTTCTATAACTGAAAATCAAATAAACGATCACGTACTGTCATCGATGGTATAAATAGATATAAACTCATTCGTGACATCAAGCCGGAAGTTCATGAATGAATTCAGTGCTTAATATTATGATGTTATCCTAATAACTGCTGAAGATGTAATGAGGAAAGTGACTCATTCCGAAATCTCGGAAGTCCGCCATTCAGAATGTCAATTTTCCAGTGTGGTAAATTCGAATACCACCTGCCACTTGTGAGATTTGTACATAAAACTTAATGTTATTTTCTTTTCTTGTTTTTCTTACGTTGGAAAGTTTTTCACAATTCGAGGTCGATTCTCAGTCATTCGATAAAATGTAATACATTAAATGTTATTATTATACAAGTACGTTATGTATGTATGTGAAATTTTACCTCTTTCATATCTTTTCTTGTTTTTCTTACGTTGGAAAGTTTTTCACAATTCGAGGTCGATTCTCAGTCATTCGATAAAATGTAACACATTAAATGTTATTATTATACAAGTACGTTATGTATGTATGTGAAATTTTACCTCTTTCATATATTTTATTGTATAGCAATCCTGTGAATGATATCTGATTGAATTCCATAACGAAAGTTTGGAGTACGAACTGAATAGAAAAAATCATTTTTTCGTATAATTAATGGATTAAACGGCTTACCTTAAGAAGGTTCAATACAAATTATATGAACATGTTTGTTCTGCAATATATAACACACTGTGGTATATTCTGGTTCCACGATCGTGTCACAACATTTTAAAGATAGTTAGTTTTTTTCTTCAATATATGTCTCACCAGCCCGTTTCTTGCCTAATCTGCCTCGCTTGACTCATTATTCGTAGAAAAAATATCTCAAACTGGATTGTGGGAGACCTATAAATCATTCCTAGGGTGGGAAGCTATATATTGGAATTTCACATGTTTGTTCTCCAATATATAACACACAGTAGCTGTTGAAAGTATCTAGCGATCTTTTAGGAAGTGTTTACACAGTAATTTCAGACACAATTTTATATTTGCAAAATATTTATTTCCAATATATAACAGTGATGGGTAAATAACAATCTTATTCTGAAAAATATTGAAAAAAATATTTGGATTTTCCTATGTGTAAATACTTACTCTTATTTTACTAAGGAAATTATATCATTAGCAAAATTCGATTTACCACTTCTATCACAGAATTTGTTAAATATTTTCGATTTTTCTGCCAAACCAGCAGTTTTCTAATTGTCTCTATATCTGTTCCAACACGAACAGCTGCAGAATTTGCGGCATGTCGGGTTGAATGGCTTTTGAAAATATTAAATGTCTATGCAACTTTTCTCTAGAACACTTTTAATCCCTTTTAATCCACCTACTTACGGTTTGTGATGAAGCATTGTGATAATCTTATGTGTTAGAAGAAGCATTTCATTTTCTTCCCTGGTTCTAAATGGTTTGGTTATTTGTGAATAATGTAATACGGTAGGAAGTTCATGTTTCTAGTTGCAATAGTGGTCTCTTGCAGCTGAAGTTAATGCCATAAGCATTCAGAGCTTGAAGAAAACGTCTACTAGGGTGAGTTTAGGTAAGGGATATAATTTCTCAAAATACCGGGTGTCAACGAATCTATTAGACAAGTCATAATTTCTAGACTATTAGGAGAATTGAAATGAGATTTGGTATAGTTGAATGGTATGTGGAGAGGAATGTTTTCACATATTTTTCACTTTCCGGTCACTTCCGGTTTCAGCGGAAATGGCTCCGGTTCTGAATTTTTAAATGGAACACCCTGTATATTGTAACATTTTTGGATTTCTGAGACAATTCTGGATCAGAAACTGACATTTCCGGGAAGTTTCTCAGCCTACTTGATTTTTTCAGAGTCACTTTTAAAATTGCATCTAGGTGGCCATGATCGGACGTAAACTAATCTATGGACCTCAGGTGATATCAGAAAATTGCAATAGCGGAGTTTTAGTGACTAGTGTGTTGAATATGAATGATACAAGTTTACAAAATAACATTTTCGTGTCTAACTATTATTTTTCAAATGGCGACCATTTTTTGACAAGCAATTTCCGAAAAAAGGATTTTTTGAC